CAAAAAGGCTCCATGTCGTGATTCCACTCCCATCTCAGAGAAACATCTGCTGTTTTGAATAAATATAAACCCAAAGCCTTTGCACACCCTTGCAAGGCAGAGGTGTGCAGCTCTGAGCACCATCTTTGTCCTCTCTCTGTTACCAACTGTCCTGGTGTGTCCTGGCTTGCAGGCACAGTTTGAAGTGCTCTGTAGCCCCCTTCATGCTCAGTGAGGTACATTTTTAGCTCATCAGAGGGACCCAAGTTCTTCTGTCTCAGCACAGCTGCTGCACTCTGACAGGAGGGAGCCAGGGAACTTTCCCTGCAGGGAACTTGCACCTGCCGAGGTTTTGGAGAGGCCCAGTGGAGTCACTTGCTGGGGAGAGCTGAGCCAGTGCCTCAGGTGAAGCCACAGCTGTGGTGCTGCTTTGTCCTGCTGCCTGTGGCTCCTGTGCCAGCCAGGATATGTGGAGCAGACCCGTCAGAAGCTCCATGATGACCTGCTGAGCCCAGGGAGCTCCCCTCTGCCTTCCAGCCCAGCTGAGAGCTGCTCTCAGCCTCCCACCCACAGCCCTTTGCCTGGGCAGGGGCTCTCCTCGAGCAGAGGTTTCACCTTGTGCTGCACCCCCAGGGACCCAGGAGTGACACAAAACTCAGGGCTTGCAGCTGCCATCAGCTGTGACTTAGTGTTTTCTTCCTCTGTGGTTACCTCATGGTGCTCAAGAGCAAGAGAATTTAAAAAGAAATCCATCTGGATTTGAAACATTGGAAATGTGGGGAAAAAGGTGCAGAAAGATGGCTGCTCCTGAGTAGCACATGCTCTCCATTTGCCACCAAATTTTCATGGTTACATCCATTGCCTTAACCTGTTTACTTCACAACAGGAGAGACTCTGAATTCTGGAAGGCAAATTTCAGTGCATTTTGAGAGCTAGGCTCCTAAAGATGCCTAGAGTTAGGCACTCAAAATAACAAAACATTCTTGGAAATACTAATCAGGTTATTTTAGTAGGTCAGCTCCCTGGGGAATAATGGCTGGAGTGGACAGGAAGATACCCAGACTGAGGGCTTCCCTCATGAGTCACCTTCCCTGACCTCAAGAGACAGGTTTAAGAGCTGCCACATTTCAGGGCCACTCAGCAGCTGGTTGGTAGCAGTAAGAACATGGTACAAACAGAACCAGTTTTCACAGATCCAGCTTTTCACAGCCTTGAGCATGCTCTGGAAGTGGGGGGACAGCAGACACTGCTTCACAGGGGGAAACATCCCTCCCACAGCAGAGGCAAGAAACTTTGGGCAAAGCGAAGAGGAGCCCACAGGGGCCACCCTGCAGTGTGGTCCCCACCTGGGGCTCTGGTCCCCAGTCTGGGAATGTGAGCAAACATTTGTGTGGGTCCAGCCCTCACCTATTGATCCCACTTCTGAATGCTGAACCAAATTTGCAGTGACTCAAGGGATAAGAACATAAGCTGAAAAGGCTGAGTATTAGTCAGGCCCGGGGGGAGAAAATATCAGTGACCAGTGGGAGATATAAACACCAGATAGTGCTTAATTTACTGGCACAGAGGTTCATGGGCTGGGAGCTGAACCAAAATCAAAACCATGGCTGTGCTGCTGGGAGAGACAAGGGTTATAAGCTCTTGTAAGAGCCTCCCACAATCCTACTTTCATCAGTTAGTATAAAGAAAATATACAGCCTAGCTGACAGCAACTCTTTACTGCTCGGGGAAACAAATAGCTATTGCAACTGGGAATGACAGACAGACCAGAATTGTGCTTTCCCGGGCTGAATAGAGCTGTTAAGCAGCATCTGAAGGGCTTGAGCAGAGGTGATTAAAGAAGATGCTATCTCCCAACCCCAGCAGACTACAAAAGGTATATTTTCACTGGCTAAATCCTGAAACAATTATGGCCTGAAGTGTAGTCAGGTTATTTCTTATCTTTCTGATGGCCTGCTGGCAAACTCTGTTTTCTTAAATGAGGTTTGTAATGTCTAATACTTCCAAGGAAAGATGGTATAGCCACTGCAATGTGTGTGGTAGTGACGATCCAAATAAACATAGCAGGCATTGCTAGGACTGCGTAGGCTTATAATTAATATCCCATTCCTCAGGGAAGTGATATTTTCATTTCAGTTGTGGAAAGACTCGTTGCTTGTTATGCAGGAGTGCTCAGGGTTGTGCCTGCTGCACATTCCCCCGGTGCTCCCTCAGCACAGGCAGGTTTGATATTTGCATCTGAATTGCTGGGCATGATGCTGCTGGGTTCTCCAGAGCTGCTCCTGTGGAGGGGAGGTCGCTGCAGGAGGAGGCTGTGGCGATGCCCTGTGTCTGTGTGGGAGTGTGGTGTGTGTGGATGGCACCCAGCAGTGTCAGGTTTCTATGGATGAGCTGTTTCACAGCACATGATGGGGTTTTTTTTCTCATCCTGCCTCTTGACCATCTTGCTGTGCTGTTTTGCTTGGCCTGTTCAAGGTGGACAGAGTGCCAAAGTCCTTCACTGGAATAATTTGTGTGAGACAATGGTGACCAAGTACCAACAGGCAGCATGACCCTTCAGGATCTTCCCTGAGCCTGCCCAGGGCTGAGGGCACATAACACTGCTGGGCTTTAGTTCTGCAGCTCATCCTGAGGGAAACAGTGCCTTTGCTTTAGCAGTCATGTGAAGATAAGCACAAATTATTATTGTAAGCTGTAGTGCAATGCACACTTGCAGAAAGGCTGCTTTGTCAAGTGTTTCTTTTTCTGACATCTTGAGAGCTTTATTATGAGGAGTTTGTTTTCTTTAAAAAGAAACACCAAAGGGGTATCCACTCTGCCTTGCAGAGACAGTGAATCCATGGCACTGCAGCTGATAGTGTTTATTTCTTCCCACTATAATGTGCAACCTCACCATTGCATCATGCAGTTAAAATTCCCAACTGTCACACTGCTTACTTTTGAGATGGGGGAAAAGGACATGATGGCAAAGGAGTGTGAATGAGTGAAGTCAGGGGAAGAGAGAACAGGCTGCTGAAGAGAGGAAAGTCTGGCTGAGCAGCACAGCAGAGGTTTCCCAGCAGCAGGTCTCCAGAACTGAACTGGTAGGTGGTGAAGCCACAAGGGACTGTGATCTTCTGGAGTGCTCTTCTGCATAATCTGTTCTGTAGGATCTCTCTGCATTCATTCCTTTATAAGGCAAAGCCTCCCCTTCACAGCTGATGGCAGCCCCAGACAGCTGAGCAGGGAGAGGACCGAGCAGCCCGAGGGGAGGGCTGGAAAGGGGATCCAGGGCTGGATTCTGTGCTGGGTCACAGAGCTCGAGTAGGCAGGAGCTCTTTGGGCTTGGGGCTTTCTACCCCTTGTGCTCAGGAGCTTCCTGGCCTGCTACATTGGGGATTTAGAGAAAATGTGTTTTCCCACTGTCCATTTGGTCAGATGAATATATGAGGATAGCACAGACTTATGAGGATAGCACAGACTTTTTCAAAGACAATAGAGAACCATCAGAATTGGAATAGTCTTGTGGGTTTCTTGGGGTTTTGGGGTGGAGGCTTTTTAAACGAAGCACCCAGGGAAGAGGGAAGGAGTAGGGTATTCCAAACAGACAACTGTCCTGAAAAGTATCCTGAAACACTTCTGCTGCACTTCAGGCTGCTCCATTTGGCTTCTCTGAATACAAATCAGCAATGAAAATGAAATCTGCTAGGAGTTGAAGTAGATAATATGAATAAGGGACATACTTAAAGCTGGCCATGTTTAGAGTGTATGAGGCTTTGAGATTATTTTCCTGTCCTGGTACTGTTCTACTGTTCTTGTTTTCATGTGAAATCTTGGTAGCTTTGAGCTGCCTCAGGAAGTGTACACTGGCTGGTCCTTGTGACCCTTGGGCCCCTTATTAAAATACCATGTGTCAGGCTGAGAAAAAAACAAACCCTATAATTCATCTAGAAGTCTGCATCTTCTGGCAGGCAAAAGCATGGAATTGGAGTCCTTTCAGGACTTGTGAAGGAAGCTTGTCTTTTGACAGTACCTTTATTTACAGTCTGAAGGCCATAGCCAGGAACTAGGTGGCCATCTGGCACAGAGCTTTCAAAGTCCACCTTGGAGGAGCTGTTGATTCAGGCCAGTAGTGTCTGTAAGACATCTGACTTGCAGCATGCTTCACTTCTGAAAAGCAGCACTTGATTCAAGCTCCTGCCACAAAGGCAGTCGCTGTCTAGTGGTTGTGATCAAAGTAATGGAGCAAAAGCCTTGGCCAGTGTTTGGACAAACGTCTCATCTGCTCAGAAGATTGATGTGAAAGCTCTTCCCAACTGGGCTAACCTACTGTTAAGCACACAGGTGGGTTACAAGAGCTGGAATCACTGGGGGTCCAGTCCCTCTGCCTTTGAAGGCAGCAGGAGTTTTGCCATCAGCTTCAGTGGCAGCAGTTTCAGGCTCAGATGGCCAACACAACAACCTGTAAGCCTGAAGTTACAGCAAGTGCTTTGCATCCCATTGAAAAGGTTCTGGATTTCTAACAGCAGCTCCTCTCCAAGGAGATCTGATCCATTCCCATTTGTTCCCCCATCAGATGCTGCCTCAGAAATTGGTAGTTCAGTGTCTCTGCCGCTTTAAGGCAACCACTGACCAAAGTGCAGGTTTTGTTATTTGTGTGCCCTAATAAATATCTTAAGGCAGATGCAGAACTCTGTAAGCAGCAGGGAAGGAGACAGTTGCCAGTGGAAGGTCATGCTGGGATAGAATCAGGGATACTTCCTCCATGTCCTCGGTAAGCCAGGTGATTGCAAGGGATATGAGGACTTTGAGGAAACCCAAGATTTTGTCTCACAGGATCCCTGGAGTTTGGAGCATAGCTGCTGCATGCCACTCCAGCACTTTTGTGCTTTTACTCAGCACGAATGTGGGGAACCACAGACCAGAGTGAAAGGGGTCAAAGAATGAGTGAGTGGATAATCTGTGTCAGTGGGAACAGCCTGGTGAGGAAAAACGTAACAGGGAAGTCTCATGGCTGAATTTCAGAGATGGGGCCTGAAAGATACATGGAAGACAAAGAGTTTTATTAAAGGGTGAAGTTCTGTATGCCAAGGGAAGGAGGGCAGTCTGGAGTGCTGAGGAAGCTGAGTGAGCCAAGCATACTCAGAAAGGAGAGGAGGGGGATATTTCATGCAGGAGAGAGGTAGCCACAGCTGTCTTTTTGCTCGAGCGAGGCTGAATGATGGGCATCACAAATCCCAGGGGGCTCTCAGCAGGAATGGGACAAACATCCTCTGCTGATGGTTGGAATTTGAAGTAGATCAAAAATAGACAGTGTATGAAGTGTATTAATTAAGGGGGTTTCAGCTGTCACAGGGAGTGAGGATGCAATTAAAGGTGCAGGTCTTGTTGCACTTTCTTATTTCTAATGCTGGGTAAGCGCGGTTTCCTGTCACTCTCACACACTGACGGGTCTGTTGTCCTGATTCCCAGATGAGGGAATGATCTATACCATTGCTTGACACCCCAGCCAGGGAGATGGGCAGGTCATCACATCCTGGGAAATGGAGAATGAAAAAGTCATGAGACCACGAGGTTTCAACAGATACAGCAACTAAGAGTTGATCAGTGAAGTCTATTTAGAGCTGTTTGCCCAGCCTGTTTCTAAGCATCCCCAGTGACAACACCTGTTCCCATGAGATTTCCACTTGGATTTTCTCCAGTGCAGGTGCACTGAGGCTCACTGTGACTGGCATTCAAGCTGTGGAAGCACATATGGCAGGAGAGCAGCAGTCCCTCAGCAGTACCCTGAGTAAGCCTGGAGGCTGGAACATGACTTGCTTATAAATACCAGAACCAAGAGGATTGCACAATTTACTTCCATGGGTGCTCAGAGGATCAAATCCTCTCCACTTTCCTACCAAACTGGTCAGCAAAGGCCACAGAGTTAGCTGGTGGGAGGCAAGCAAGCTGCATAGAATTGTAATTGCTCTGCAGAACAGTCTTCTGCTCTGGAAGACTGCTCCTATGTGGGCACTGGGTTTTATGTCAGTAGCTCAGAAACAAGCCCAAAGGCAGGCAAGGTCAGGGGAAAGCATTCTGCATGGCTGAAATATGACTGTGGTGGTAGTCACTGTCACTTACTGGCCAGACTGGTATTAATTTTTCCCTAATTGCTTGCAAAAGGAGAAAATGCTTTTGAATTACATTCATCATTTAGGCAAATAGTGGCCAGACTGGTGAATGTCTGGAGGTCACATCTTTAGGAGTGCCAAGAGCATTTCCCACTGGCATAACTGAATCTGGAAGTGGAGTTGACTTCCAGACTCGATAAACCTCCCAGGGATGGTCCCTTTTTTCTTATGACAAGAAAGAAAAGTTTGGTGATAGTACTATTGTGCCATGATGCACAAAGGATGTGATTATTCAAGAGCAAAAGCATCTCAGTGAGAAGAAGAACAGAGGGATCAAAAAGTGAACCTGCTGCTTTGACTGGGGTCCTGGGTTTAGACTGAGTTAAGTACCTGGGACCTGATGTATTTTGAGGCAGTATGGATCTTCCCAGGTGGGAATAGCATACTTGGATACACAGCATCAGAAGAACTACATTCAGATTTTAAAAGTTGTGTTTTTCAGTGACTGGCCCATAATGTCTTCTAAAGTGAGTGTGGAAAACCTGTTGCTTACATTCAGGGGAAAAGTGGTGAAGGAAAAAACTGTGCACTTGGCATTTAATGTGAATCTGACACTTCTTAGCAACGCTCAAGGAGAAAAGACCCAATAACCAAAATGTTGAGAACGCACTTTTTTCAAGTTATAAATTACTGAAATTGCAGAGCTTTTCCTTCAACTACCTTTCTGCATTTAGCTGAGTGCTTAATGAGTGACAGTTTCTCTAAGATTTTCCCTAATCATAACCATATTCTAGGGAGACCAGTTACAGCATCGTTATCATCTCTTCCTCTATGAACATGTTATGTCAGGTTAATAATGGTTGCAGCAGGAAAGTGTGATCCAGTCCTCTGAAGCACAGCCCTTGCTAACATTCCTGTAAATGATTCAAGGTACACGAGTAATCTTACTGAGTTCATTTGCCTCTTAATTTCTAACTACCACATTGAAAAGCAGACTCAAGCAGTAGAAGGTCTGCTTTGTTCTGTTTTTAAGACATGGCAGGAGTTCAGATCCTCCTTTCTGCAACATAAATACAGTGCTTGCTGCAATTTTTAGCAAAGATAAAGCACTTTCACTCTAAAGGGAAAATTTCTCTTTTATGGCTTTCAGAAATCATAGTGGTCAAGGTAGTGGGGTATCTGCAGAGCCAGCTGGTGTTGCTGTTCCTTCCTCTGAAGAGTGCAGAGGGGTTTCAGGGAGCTTGGAGGCAGGAATTCTGCCTGGTACCTTGCAAGCACTCATATCCTTGTCAATCTGCCAAGCTGTCCGAGTGGAAGCTCGTTAGTGCTGGGATGGGGAGCTCCAAGGAAGGCATGAACCTTGCAAGGTGCGAGAAGCTCAGAGGTGGCCCAGTTTCCCATATGCCAAGAGCACGGTCCAGGAAAACGGTTTGAAGCATGGTGATGGTAAATGGTGCCATCTGTTTCCCTGGAAAATCAAATTGCCTGGATAAACTAGTCTGTTCTTTAGAGAACGACTCTGTTCTTTAGAGAACGACTCTGTTCTTTAGAAACTGTGCAGCAAAGATGTAGCTATAAACACTCAGGCCATTCACAGTGATCCAGTTGCAGACTGAGACTTGTCAGTCTTCCAGCTCATGGTTTTATACTCATTTTTTTCAAGCTGTGTAACTGCTGCCCCACTCTGAGCTGGGACGACACTTGAAGCAATTCCTTCTCACCCTGCTTGTGGCATGCAGTGACAACCAGGCATGGTGCCCAGAGGCTGTTGTACCTTTCTGGAGTGTGGTCCATGTGTGTGAAAGCAAAATCTCATTCATGCCCAGGCATGCTGAACCCCTAGGATGCTTCAGCCAAAGCTAGTTGGGAAAGGGTAGACACATTCCTCCCTTGTTCTTACAAATGCAAACAGCAGTCTGTTTTTCTTGAGTAGCTGAAAATGCTGTGAAATGCTCTGTTTAATTTTGTCTGGGATAGAATGTCCCATGGGCATGCTTCTCCTGTCCCTTTCCTTTCCTCGTGATTCCTATTAGTGGTCCCCACCATGCTTTTTGTTCCTGCTGAAATGTGAGCCTAAATGGAAGTGTCAGGCAAAGAGGAAACATGCAGGTGAACATAGGGCTTAGGGTTGAGTCCAGCAAAAAGTAACCTCTTACAATCCCTGGAAAATGTTCTTTCTGAGCAAAAAAGATGTAAAGAAATCTAACAGCTCTATTCCATTAAATGTAAACCCATCTTTGCCATTAGATGGGTATGCAGGTTTACTCAGGATGTCAGGGTTCCGTAATGCATGAACTGTGTAGACACAAACGTTCATGGATACATCCAGAGGAAAGCTGAGTTGTAACTCTTGTGGGAATCAAACTGTAAGTTTTTAAGACTTCTGTTTGAAACCCCCTGCTAAATTGATATTTTTGATCCCATTAACCACACAGAGACATGCACAGAAACCAAACATCAAACAGCACACAGAAGTTTTTTTTGTTTCTTTCGTAAGTAGTGCTACAGCCTCAGAAGTGAGAGGGGAATTGAAAGTGGGGGGAGAAAAAAAGATCTTTAAACAGTTTTAAAAAATAATAATAATAATAATCCTTGCTCTAAAATTTCTACTGCCAAATTTCATCACAGACTAATTCCTTGCAGCTGAGCTGCAAACCTCTATGAAAATAGGGGTTTACAGTGGAAACACTGACTAACTATAGCTGTGCAGTCCCATGAATAATGACACTCTAATTACGCCTTATGATTTACCAAGACCTGCTCTCTGTATAACTGTTGCTGGTTTGGGGAGCAAGATCTTTTTTTTTCCTTGACTGTGGTTTGCTTCTTTTTGTTCATATTATGTTGGCACATAGTTTTTGAAAAGCTTTTCTCTGAAGGGAGCTGGGCAGACAGCTATGATTAAGTATGAAATGATTGGTTGAGCTGTTTGTCAAAGTTATAAATAGGATACCACACAAACCCAACACTAATCTCGCTGAAAGACAGATACTGGCAACATTTCTTAGTCATCTGTTCCTGACGCTCAGGGGAGAACAGCTACACTTCCATTAAGTTTTCAAACAGAAGTTGCTTAAAATACATTTCTCTGGTAAAATTTTGGGCATATGCACTGTAAGCCACACTGAGATTTAGCAGGGTGTTGCAGTTTTAAATGTTCATCCCAGTTTAAACCTGGTCCTCTGGATCCACCCCTCTGTGTAGGGGTGAAAGGTGATGGTTTGATGTTTGTGGAAACAAAGATCTGTTTGTGAAGCAGTTCTGGCAGGACCAGACTGATGTCCTTATCTCCTCATACCCCTGGATTAATTTTAAGAGCAGAAGAGGAGGTCCCTAGGAATATCCTTTGCATCTTCAGGTTTACAGGCAGCTTTCTGTAATCTGCTTTTGGAAGATCAGGTGGAGGCATAAAAAGAAGAGCAATGGCACAGGTTTCACTTACATGTGTCTGCAACCAGAAGGGAAGGGCAGCATATTGAATTCCTTCTGCTGCAGATCTCTCACACAGCAGCTTCTGCAGACTCCAGCCTGGATGCTGCTCCTTGTCCATCCCAGTTCTGCATCAGCTGCATCCGTTCTGTCAAACTGGAAGTCTGCAATTTCATGTTCCCATGGGATGACCCCCCATATTTGCCATTTGCTTTCATGGTGCCTCAAATTGTAGGGAAGGGCTCCACAGTTGGGCACTTTTGCTGCCGGCCAAAACATCCATGAGACAATTAAAGCAAAGCAATAGCTGAAGGAGAGCCAAGAATTTCTGGGGCTGAGAAAGCTTCAAGTTGCAAAGTGAAAAAGCCCACAGCAACCAGAACTTGCCCCTCCAATCCTGCACCTTCCCACATCCCTGCCAACACATACAGCAAGGAGTTTTAGAGGAAGTATAAGCACTTCTAATTTATGGCATAAGTCAACAACTCCTTATAGGTAAAGTCTCTTAATTTTTTACAGAAATCTAAAAAAAGATTATCTTGAATCTGTGGGGTTTAGACAATTCAGACATGCATATTTTTATTTTTAGCTTTGGTAAGTGTATACACATCTATGGAATTTCAGATTAATGAGCTTCATTAAACCAAATTTCTTAAATTTTTAGGCATTTTGTTTTCACAAACTCTCAGAATCAGATTCAGGTCCAAAAGATTTGTTTAATAACTATTTTAAAATGAGACTTTTTGCAAATTCAGGAGTCGTTTTCATTCTTACCAGCCAACAGAGCAATTGAGATGGGTTTTTTTTAGCTTCTTGATTTTCCCTTGGGAGGTTCTTGTTGCTAGAGAGCAAGACCTTCCTTGTGTGCACTGAGCACCTCACCTGGGTGAGCTGGCAGCCAGGAGTGGGGCTCATCAGGGTGGGCAGCAGTGTCCTGTGCCCTGTGCAGCCTTCCCAGCCTTCTCCTCTGGTGTGGTACATCCTGCTCATCCCTGTGTGCTGCAAGGGTGGCAGAGGAATAAGGAACAGGGAGTGCCTTCCAGGAGCCCAGGGTTGAGCATGCAGCTGAAACCCAGAAAAGATGATTTTCATGGTTTTCTCACCAACATGAACTGTTTGAGTTTTGCTGGAGTTGAAAGGAAATGTTCTATAGTTGCTGACTTCTGCATGAGAGGTTAATATAGGTTTGTTCTTGGCACTGAAATGATTGGGACCAGCCACGAGCACGCCCCATTCTTGAGCAACAGTTTTACAACCTTGCTGGAGCTCTTTAGTCTCTGTCTCAGATGAGCCCCAAGTGCAGTACCACTATTTTCCTTGCACAGCTTCAGCAAGTGAATTGGAAAAGCCTTTTGGTTTTGTCCCTTCCTCATGTTCCTGACGTGGATTATATGAATTATTGTCCCAAAGTTTGGGCTTTTTTAATGGAGAATAAACCAAAGGCCTTCGGCTCTTAAACTTCTTAGTGTGAACTACATCTTTAATCCTTAGTTTACTACCCAGATTCCTTTTGCAGTCTGATCCTACTGGCAGTGAGCTGCCAGGGCGTGAGGAAGAGCTGACAGTTTCTCCAGTAGATATTTTTCTGAGAGGAAGCTGGTAAAAAAGATTTTGCTTAATGAATTGCTTTGCCTCTTATGTAACAACATATTTATGTTGTTATGAAGCCTGCAGTGAAGCTGCATCTGATAAGAGTGATAGGTTTCCAGTTTGATCTTATTTTAGATTGCAGCAATCTGAGCATAAAAAGACTCTTTGTTCCAAGAAGAAAAAACAGAACAAACATCTGGTGAGAAGCTGATGTGCTCAGGACAACTCTGAAAGAGGTTGATAGTGATGGATTGCGACACACAACTTCAATACGTCCCCACAAGTGTTATGTGAAGAGACAAGATAATTCTTCCCTTGTCTAAGATTCATTTTAAAAGTTTTCTGTTTTTCAGGGAGGGATAGAGGAAAGAGTGTAACACTGTACTCCCTGTGTGTTTCTCCATGATTCTTGCAACTGGTCTAGTTTGAACTGAAGGCTTCTTTCAGGATTGATTTACTTGGAGAGTGTTAACTGTAGACCATGTCCTAACTCCCAGTTGAAGCCCTTCATAATGGATCATCTCCTGCAGCAGTCCTGCTCAGAAGCACCCCCAGCGTGTGTCCAGTGCCCAGAAGAGGATCTGGGGAGTGTTGGATTCAATGTGTTCAGTCACTTCAGCTAGCTGGAGGTCTTGCACTGCTTGTAGTACATGTGGATTTGGCCCTTGTTCTTTCATTCCTCTCTCAACCGCTAAAAAAGATATTTTCTACTGCAAATTATAAAGAGTATTTCCTACTCTGTCCTTAAATACAGGCTTGGATCGTCTCACCCTGTGCTGATTCCTGCTGTGTGTGCACAGCTCAGAGGTAGAATCAGGCCCATGTAGCTAAAGGCAGGTCCTGAGAGAAACTGGGGGAGCAGAGTGATGGGAAGGGGCATTCTGTTTCATTCAGAAAGACACTCCCAAAACCCAAAGGAGCAATGCGTGGGTGAAGTGCTTTCATGCAGAGCTTTTCACTACGAATCAAGTCTGTTGTCAGAACTTGTGACATTTTCTCTGTTCCCTTCCTCTGGGCAGTTTGCCACTGTAACATACACAGATGACATTAGGATTTGCAGACTGTCGTTTCTGAAGGCACTCTTATCTAATCTGTACTTAGTATTTTTCCAGGACATGGAGGTGGCTCTTTCTCCTCTGTTAATTAACTTTTTTTGCCCATGTTTGCCTGCCTTATAAATTCCTCTGACATCAAGGTCTAGGATTAAACAAATTGATACCTCACTTCCAGTGTGTGTGAGCTTGACACTGAGCTGACAGCCTCAGAGCCTGAAGTATTTTGACACAGGAGCAGAGCAAATACAGAGGAAATTGCTGTTCAGCCTCCTCCACATGTTCCTGCCAGGCTCCTGGTTTGAGCAGCCTGTGTCAGTACTAATGGGGCAGTCCCAAAGTCCTCCCACCCATCAGTGGGTTTCTGCTCAAGGCACTAGTTGTGACATTTCTCAGAAGTACCTGTATTTATTCACTGTGTCAGGTTTTCACTGTAATGCAATTACAGAACAGCACTAACCTGGTAGGGAGCCAACTCCATGCAGTAGCCAGATTAAGTTGTCTTATTTGGTTAACAGTATTTTGATAGTTTATTAAATCCTAGTAGGAGCAGAAAGATAAGAGCGGAAAGAACAAATCTTATGGATTATCTGCTCTTGGTTGTTCACTCCTGTTGGTCTAATCCTGGTCTGAATGATGAGCTGTGGGAACAAGTGTTTTAATGTTTTGTTATTGTCCCATCTTAAACATGTGCATTCCTTTATCAGAATAAGCATATTATCTAGCTGTTTTTTTCCACTTTGCTGTTTTTATCATTGATGTGGAACATAGTGCTTGTTTTCTTCATCTGGAATGAAGACATTAGTTCATCTCAGATAGCACAAGCTATTTGATCAGCCTTCAGATGGCAAGATATTACAAAACCTGCTGACATGGGACAAATCCAGGACTGTGGTGTGGAGCTTGAAAAGACTTCATGTCCTTGTTATCAGACCCCTGAGACAGCCAGCTACTCACCCAGCAGCTGCAAAGAGATAGGATTGATCGTGCCAGAGACAAACCCCTCTCTCCCTACTGAGGCAAGGAGGCAGCAGGGATGTGCATGGGCTCCCCGGCGTGGACACAGCGGTGAGAGAGCCTCTTCTGCACTCCTGCTCATGTGTCAGCTGTGACACTGCTCTCTGGTGGCCTTGGGCTGGCTGAGATTAGCCTTGGTATTGCCACCTAGCAGGAACTGAGGTCCATGAGTGGTTCCAGCAGTGTGGTGGTGAAGCAGACAGCTTCGCTGTGGCTCTCCTCTTCACCTTGCTGCATTAGCTCATCCGAGATGTCCCTGAATCCATGGCAGGGCTGGTTTCCAGCTGCACTGTGACACCTCTGCTTCTCATCCTGAGAGTGTTTGTTGTACAATACTTGATATTCAGGCCTGCTGTGACTCCCCTGACATTATGTGCAAACTGAAGCCAAAATGATGGTACTCTTAATATATAATCAGAAAATAGAAGATATTGTATTTTGCCAGCAGCTGACTGCAAATCAAAGAAATAGGCTGCACAGCTAACATCTGCCTTTTCAATATGGGAAAATACCTGATTTTTACTCTGTTTAATAGAGCAGTCTGGCCTCTGATTGAGTTTGATGGGAGCAGCTGCTACAGGAGGCAGGCTATACACCTTATACCAGTGTTATGGGGTGAGGGTGTTTGGCAGAGCTTGCCAGTGGATGGTTCTCAGTGAAAAGGGCATGAAGAGCTCTTCCTAGGCTGGTCAGCCAGGACTGTCTCCTAGTCCAAATGTTTTCTGCGTACCCCTGTTTCCCCTTAGAAGTTATCTGTGGCAAGACTGGGATTCAAGGTAGCATCGTGGTACTAGTGCTGGCTGTGTTGTCAGCTACTTATTAGCATGTGCCATATCATGTTCTCTGTAAAGATATATATATTTGAAGATAAATGGGGACAGGAACACCTGAAGCAGGAAAAGCTGGGAAGCATAAGGAAAGGGATTTACTTTCATTGCACTACCTCTTTGCAAAGTATTTTTAACATCTGTACCATCTCCAGGTTCATTTTGCAACAGCTGTAGACACTCTGGCATTTAAAAAAAAAAAGAAAACCTATATTCCAAATTACACTGTTTTGTCCTCAGTTCTTGGCTGTGATGCTCATTAGCCTGGATGTGATTTAGGTGTGAAGAGGGAGAGGCCAAGAGAACAGTAGTGCCTCCCAGGGACAGCAGGAGAGGACTGGAGCTCCTCAGCTGCCAGGTGCTCTCAAGCTCTCTGGCTGCACCTGGCCAGGTGTCTGGCATCTGACACCTGCTGTGTCCTGGCATCCCTGCCTTGCTTGGCATGCCTTGCACTTCAGCAAGCCTGATTGCTTATGACATGTCCACCCAGAAACCCTCCAAGAAGGAGCTTGGGCTGGAGTTATTCCTGGCATGGGGGGCTGGACTGAGGCTAGGAGCTTGAAATGAGCTGTTGGAACAGTTGGGAGAGTGAGTGGGAGGAGGGTTACAAATATGAGGGAAGAATTATGATGGATTTATCACAGCCTGAAATAAATTAACCTCTGGGAGGAATGATTTTGTAATAATTTGCATTTAGATACTCTGACACAGCTACATAACCCCAAACCTTCTGCAAACATTGTAATTAATTCAATCTCCAACATCCTGTGAGAGGGATAGAAATAGCACTATTTACATGGTTAAAGGAGCCAAGGACTCTTCTCTCAGTATTGCATTTTTCACCCCTGGGGCTGCTCTTCTGTCTCGTTTCTAGAGCTTCCTGGTGGGGTGGAAGGCAGGAGCAGTGAACAGCTGGAGAGCTTTCCTGGGCACAGCTAGCTGAGCTCCTGTGTGTTAGAGCACACAGCCTGTGGCAGGCAGCCCAGGGAGCCCGTGTGGGCAGGGCAGCAAAGCTGGAGCACACAGCAGAAGGAGCAAGGAGCTGAGCCCTGTCTCAGCCCCTGGTAGTGGTGGCTGTGGGCAGGGCTACTCCTGTTCAGGGACCCTGGATCTGACTCCATCCCTGAGTGGAAAGTGGTCAAGTGATTTAATATTCAGCATTCTGAAGTGGAGTAATGGATTTGATAGCCAAAATGATTTGGTAGCTTGAGAGGGTGTTTCAAGGACAATCCAAGCCTGTAGCTATGCAGTGGGATTTTCTCTTGTCATCAGCCTCCTGCCTATTCCTTTCTGTTCCAGGGCAGTTAATCATAAATGAGATACTTGCTTGATGCTGTTTTCATGCCTGCTCTACCCTGTTTCCATTTCCAAAGTTCAGTTGGTGGGTTACATCCCACCCCAGCTTCAGCAGCTTTAGTAGGAGAGCTGGCTCTTCCAGAGAGATATAGATTGAACCTCACATTGTGACCATGAAAGGCTTCGGGAAGCTAATTTTTTCTCAGAGCATCTCAAAGTGCATCTTCTCTTACTTACAAATGTGTCTTAAATCCAGGGTTCTTAGGGCAGCACACAGCTGGTGTGAGCTGAGCCATTGAGTGCAGCCAGGGCACCTCTGTTCTCCACTGCCACACAAGCTCAGGGGTGGGGTGGAAGTTTGGGGCTGAGGAGAGATGGCTGGGTTTACTTGGAACAGTGCAGTCTTCTTTGGGCGTGACCCAGAGCTGGCCTTGCTCACTAGAAGTGTATCTGTCATCTTCAAGGAGATTTGAGTAGCCCTTCCTTTACTGCCAGTTTGGCTTCTGCTGTGCCTGTCTGCTTTCTGCAAAGCTCTTCAGGGCTGGGAGGGAGCATGTGCTGTCCAGCAAGTGGTGAGCAGCAGGTCAGCTGTACACAGGGAGAACCTGTGGGGAGAGGACACACCCTGTATTGTGGAGATTTACTCCTTGTAAAACACCACTGGCTCTCCATAGGTATCTGCAGATGTCTCCTGCCAAGTGAACCCAGATATATTTATAGTGCAAGCTTCAGCAATAGGACAAAGGCAAGTTGGCAAACAAAGGGACTTGGAAATAAAAGGAGAATCAAAATATGGTCTGGAGCACATTTATTTTGGAATCAATAGAAAAAGGTTAAATAATGATAGTGAATGTTTCCAGGGTGGGTCAGGTTAAAAAGCAAAGAAAGCCAAGTATGTTCACAGTGCTGTAAGACTGTTCTATGTGTGTGCTGAGTGAGTTACAGAGATAAATGATGAAAATTTTGATTCCCACTGAGATAGAGTGTGGTGGTGCTGAGCACCACACAAACACCTGCTGAGTACCTTACAAACACCTGCAGAAAACTAAGATAAATGCTACTTCAAAAGGGTTTGAAACTGCTCTGAGTTCAAGAATGGAAAAAAAAAATCTATATTCAATTCACAAAGTTGTGGAAAATTAACCAGTTCGCACTATGGGTGTGACTTTCCCCCTGCTTTCTGCCTGTTTTTCCCCTGTCCCCTTCCCTGGAGGCTGTGCTATCCCAGCAGGGCTGGATCCATCCTGCCCAAACACGCCGTGCCTCGCCCGCGCTGGGAGCGTGGAGCGTTTGTCTGGACATGTCCCATTTTAATGAGCACACCTCTCACCACTGTCAGGGAGCTCAGGCACCCGGCTCTTCCTCCCCTCCTCTCCTCCTGGGGGCAATCCCACACTTTCCCCTTGGTTTCTAAAGCCTGTGCAGGGAACCTGCCTGAAGGGCAGCCTTGGCGAGCGCATTGTCTCCTCACAGGGACATCCCTGCTTGCTCTCCCAGTTTCAGGCAGAAATCCTGAAATCCTGAATCCCAGCCAGGAGATCGGAGATCCCCAGGGTTCCCACTAATTTGATTCAAATTTTCCTGTTTCCCAAAACAGGGCATTTGTAAAGGGCTGTTGAAGGCTTTGCCTGAGCCTGCCAGCCCTGCCGGGTAATGGCGCCCAGAGGAAATGGCAGGAGTGCTCGTGTTGTTGAGTGCAAGGCCTCTGAGCACAGCCAGGACCTCACCAGCAAAATTCACCATCAGCTGAGGTGGTAAAGGCACTTTTGGAAAGAGCTGGGATCCCTTGGGATCCATTGCTTTGTCGATTTTCAGAGAGGCCAGGCCCTGTAAAGGCCTCGCTTTGTCCTGAGGGCATCATGGGCCTGATGGAAGGATGCGTCCCACAGTAAAACTGCTGTCCACAAAACTTCTGTCCTTGCCAGAAATCCTGTGGCAGCAGAAATGGGATGGAAAAGACCGGACAAAAAAAAAAAAGTTTTTAATTTGCCGTGACAGGAATCAAAGCGCTCAGGCAAGCCCTGGAACTGAGCTTGCATTTGCTGTGGCAGCATGGAGCCAGGTGATATTTATATTGGATTTTCCTGCTGCTTTGGCAGTGGTGGCTGGGCCCTCGAGGGACAGAGAGCGGGTCCCATGGGGGACAGGCAGCCCCCAGGACACAGCACCCTGGCGCTGCTCTTGGCTGGGAGCACAGCACAAGGCTGATGGGGGGAGTTACTCTCCTAGAAAAGCTGGTGAGCAGCAATTCCCATCATGTAGACAGGAAGACTGGCAGTGCAGATGCCCACAGTAACCTGTTTTCCAAGGGTAGGCTCACCCCACACCCTGCAGAGGTTGCTCAAGGGTCATCTGTGTGCAGGAATCCAAGCACCAGTGAAATGCAAACTCATCCTGAATGGCTTCTGCCTAAAATACATCAACTACAGGACACTCCAGTCAGGACACTCCAGTCGCTCTTAGGCTGCTACTGAGGTAACTTTCACAAGGGCAGGACACATGCACAGTTCCAGAGACCCTTTACTACCTGTTTGCTAAGAGCTTTACACTGGAAATAGCTAAGGACTTTAATGGGAAACGCTGGAGATAGTGCAAGTTCAAGATTTGAAGCCATTGTTGAGACACATAAGGTAAAACACAATTTTAAAGATGTTTAAATCATCCCCCAGCTATGACATTAAGACAACAGTCCTGTAAAAAAGCCAGCAAAATCATTGGCAGTCTCAATCAAATTATCTTAAACATGGTAACTGCTTGGTAATTGGTTTGTCTCAGAACATGCTTGGAACAAGAGGGATATTTTATTTTATTTTCTTTAAATAAGTATTTGATTTCATTCAAATGAATTCTTATTCCTTGGGTAAGGAGAAACATAGGCTGTGTTTGCAGGTGGATATGTCTTTGTAAGGACTCATAAGAACTTGAGCAATTATTTTTAAAATGTTGCTGACTCTGCCTATGCAAGCACTTGCTTCTCCACAGTAAAGAAATTGCAGAAGGCAGGAGAAGCTCCATACTGGAGAATTTTTCAATTTGACTGCTGAGTCCTCTTACCTTTCCTGTTCTTCCCTATAGTGAGGAGTATATTCAATAAGTCATTGTCATAGCAACCTTTTTTGGGATGGTCTTGTCTCTTTCCAGGAGATAAACTTTTCGCTGAAAATTTCAATACGTGTGGGGGAAAATTAGCCACCCAAATTCCACTGACATCCATCACATCTCTGTCTCTTGAAAACTTCTCACTAGCCATGCCTCTCTGGTTAAGGAAATGCCTTCTCAGGATAAATTTGGTAGGGTGGGGAGCACTTTGGAGTTGTTTCTTTTTTTCTTGACAAAGCACTTTCAAACAGCTGTACTAATGTACATATTAAGCCTAATGAGTACAGCTGTCATTTAATCAGACTTCCGTATCTTCTGGGATTCTAAGCAGAGATGGATTCTAGGACAGACTTTGAGAAGGAAACATTTGTATTTCCTTCTCCTTGATCCATATATGAATTTTTTCTCCTTTGCTTTTCCTTCCCTCACAGTCACAGTGAGAAAATTTGTGCCTGCATTGACACCAAGCACTGTATTAAAGCAGAAGAACTCAAATTAGGTGGTAAATTTGACAGAAACACCTGATGCGATCCAGGCTGCCAGGGAGCTGGGATATTTTTAAGCTGAGATTGTCCGACATGAAATCCTCTCTTTTCCAGAGCTGGCCATTAAACTGCATTTTCTGTCATTTTAGGGGAGCACCTGCGAATCTGCCCACAAGGCTACACCTGCTGCACCAGCGAGATGGAGGAGAACTTTGCAAACAAAAGCCGAAGTGAATTTGAAGCCATGATGAAAGAGGCTGGTCGCTCTGTGCAGGCGACCCTAACAGCACAGCACAGAAGCTTTGACAGTAAGTAAAACCTGCCTGGTTCCCTCTGCTCAGGATCCAGTCACTGCTCAGTTTTCCAGGCACTGTTGGAGCCAGGAGTTTGCTTGACATGCTTTTCTCTGCATCTCGCTCAACAGTTTGCATGAAGCATTGACCTGCTGGAATTGTAGGAGTTGTACTTCTGGCAGTGTTTCTGTAAGACCAAGGCATTTTGAGATCTCCATTTCAGAGCAGCCACTGGAGGAGGCTGGCAGATGCTGGTGTGCCTTGGCACCGACACAGCTTTCACAGGCGTGCTGTAATCAGCCCCTACCACAGTAGAGTAGCATTTGAGACAGTGATGTAAAAGTTGGCACTGTGCCTTGAACTGTAAGTTGAAGGATATGGTAAAGGTACTGGATAACCCTCAGTAGGTGGGGAGAGGTTAAGGAGACATGGATTTTTCTTGCCCTTTCCATGTAGATTGCAAGGGAAAAGGAGGTTATTTCATATTGGATGCTTATAGCTGTCAGCTTCGTACAAACATCAGGAAAGGTTACAGAAGCTCTTAGAGACTGTGGTACATAAGACATTATGGACAAACATTCTCTTCAAAGTCCAGTATCCCTCCTAACGTGCTAAGCAGAGGCTAAGGATGGCTCTCTTACTTTTATTGTTCCCTGAAAAATCCATTTTGCAGTGCATGGTAAGCCTGGAGGTCTGAAGGCCACTGGAAATAAATGGTTTACTGGCAAAATTGAGATGACCTATGATTCAGAAACTGTATCCATTATCAGATTTTGAAGAAGGTCAGACATTTAGAATCATGGCCCTCCTAACTTTATCAACAGTCATCATAGGGAGTTACTGTGAAAAGGAGTCGGGGAAAGAAGCTGTAATAGCCAGAAAGGTGGAACTGGAAATTCAAGTAGTAAATAATAGATCTAAAGAAATAAGCCTGACCTTCAGGCTTATAACCAAGATGAAGTGCTTTTACACTAAACAGGAAGAAAAGGCAGTGCATCTCTACAAAAGACATTGTGTGTGTGGCCAAGGTTGGCCACAGCAAAGGCATTCCTTTATAAGCTCAAAATTAATTGATTTTCACCCACCTTAAAAGGTGACAGTCAGGATTTTTAAAAGAGCCTGACAATGGTGGTTGCTCAGACTGATGTCTGAATGGGACCTGACATAGCTGCTGCTGAGCACAGTCCCCAGCCTCTGAAATCCAGTCCTTTGCAGGGGTTAGTGCTTGGCACCCTCTCTCTCCACTCCCTGTCATAGCACTGGGTGCTACATCTGCTCTTTATTTTCACCACAGACACTCAAAAGAGCAGAGTTCTGCATCTGTCATGTAAGAGAGTGCAAAATTTGATGGAAGCTTTGAGGATTATGCTAACAATCAGAAATTTTCTAGTGAAGAACTGTTTTAGTCTAAGTGTGATGTTTTGGTGGATTAATAGTAATAGCAGCAATAAGAGTAATATTAAGCAAAACCAAGCATATAGAAGGGGGATGCTTGCGTTGAGATGTCAGTTAAAGCTATTTGTTTTTATTCCCCAGTATTTTATTTTATTTTGGTTTTATTCCTCAGTATTTTACAAAGATAAAATATCTGTGGTGCATACCCAAGTTTCTTTTAAATACCAAACAAAGCAAGTGTTCAATACGTCAAGTATTACTTTAACAGACCATAATGCACAGATCATTGGTGTTTTGTAGTGGGAACAACCTCACCTGAGCCCACAGGCCAGGAAGATGTCTCCTGCTCCCATTATAACCTTTTAGTTTGCTTAACTACCCTTGCAGTCAATACAGAGTTTATCATTTATGCAAGACATGATTTTAAAAAATCATCATATTGTGTCTCAGTTTCAAGCATGACTTTACCTTTAAATAGTACTATTATTTTTCCTTTAGCTACTGCATAAACAGTTTGAAAACGAGAGAGTTCTGGTGATGGGACAATGGGATCACTTCAGCCCCTGAAACAATGCCACAGAAACTGCCCTCACTTCCAGTAAATGTTATTAATCTCACAGTTATCAAGACATTCTTCAGGTAGTGCTGCTTGGAGCTGTTCAATAAAGGAGCTTATTTATGTCAAATTGATGAGTTCTAGTTTTGCTGGCACCAGATGCCTGTATTTGTTGGACTTCCTCAGCAGCAAGCTTGGCGTGCAGCTTTTGGGGTTGCAGAGCTATCGATGCACAGCTTGTCTTCACACTAGTGATTTCATTTGGCCTTAGGAGGGTGTAGAGAGGCTCCACTGGATAGGGATGTCCAACCCCTTCTCAAAGTGTCTGTAGCCTGGAGATCAGATTATTCATATATTCTCTGTTAGCAGGTGTGGCACACAACTTCAGGCCTGGAGCTGTCTTATTTTTGGATTCATCACAGCAAATCTTGCACCTGTAATCTCACTGCTGATCATGGCAATAGCCTCTACTTGTAAATTCCCCAAGCTCCAGATAGAAAATAGCAAGGCTACAGCAATCTGCCTCTGAAGTAATGTTCTCCCTGCTTGTGGTCAACATTTTGCTTTGGAGAATAATTCATCCTTGCAGGTTGTGGTCTGTAAAGCCCTAAATTGTCAGCATGCCTCTGCTCTGAGCTGCAGCTTTGTGTTGTTGCAAGGAATTTGAGTCTGTTGGATTAGTCTCCTTGGCTACTTTTGGGGTAAACATTTTATGGCCAAGAGCTGAGTGTCCTTTATCTCATACAGAGTACATCTGGAGTAAATACATGTGTGAGATATAGATGACATGCAATAGGTGTAGCCATATATTCAAAAGTGGGATGTGTGGAATAGGATCCTACGGTCTGAGTGCTTTCTCTGTGCAGCAGAGGACACGTGGCTTCTGAGATGCCCTTCCTCCAGGATCTGCCAGGGCTAAATTTAAACAGCCTACAGTATTGCTTAGCTGCTTACCAACCTATTTGTTGTTTTGCTTTATGTTACTATAGTTAGCAGAATTTGGGGACATCAGTTGCAAGCTATACATGTGGTCATGGCTTGCTGTTAACCTTTTAACTGAAAAGGTAGCATTTTGCTCTACAACCGATTCGTTTAAATTTTAAAAAAAGAAAAAGAGCCAGAAGCACAGACTATGAGTGATGGCAGCATATGCTTTTGATAACTCAATGCTAGGTAGGATGTTGTGGTCAGAGTAGAGGTATTTCATTAGCAGGATTAGAGGCACAAATTCCTTGTTAATTCTGATGGTCCAGGGCTCTTGGTCAGAAAGGGAGGGAAATGTAGTTACCTGGGAGCCCAGCCTGTAGCAGAGACCTACTAGAGGCTGCTAGGTTGGTTTTGGTTGCCATTTATTTGCCTGAAAGATTGTATATAGCCTATGCTTAGAAAGAAAAACATGAATAATAAAAATAAAAACAAGCTGGGGGTCTTAAAGGGAGCTGGGGTACAGCCTTTGTTAAGACTGGTACTAAACACTGTTTTAAAGGTGCTTCCAATATTGATTGCAGAATGAGCCTTTTTTCAAACTGGTATAGAGAACGGGGAAGGTTCAGTATCTATTCTTACAAAATTAAATGCATTGATGAGGAGCTTTGTCCATGCAGTAGTTCAGGATATAGATGTGAGCTGGCTGTGCCCCCTCTGACAGCTGCAGAACAGGACTTTGGCTCTTCAGTTGTGCTGAGAGCGAGTTACAAACATTGCTCAGGTCTGGGGAAGATTCCTGCAGAAAATGAGCTCTTTTTGCATGTCAGTGTTGCTTGAAGTCATGGGAATTCTGAACTCCTGTCCTTCTCAGTACAAATTAAACTTGTACTTCCATAATCTGTTGCTGCAATGAGCCTGGAAAAACTTCTGGGCTGTGCAGGAAAGGCTTTAGAAGGGATTTATGGTGCCTGGTCAGAGTGGTCCCTTTCCAAGGCCGTGCAATCGGGGATGGCAGCAGAGGGATGGAAAGAGGGAGCAAGAGCAAGTGGTGCTTGGAGTGGCAGTGAGGGGCTGCAAGCAGCAAGGAACAAGGCTGTTTTTCTAATCTTTGTGAAAGCTCAATTGTTGAGAGTCTAATCCTTGTCTCTCTCTCTGTTTTCTCCCTTTTTCCCCACTTAAATCACTTTTTAATAATACTGCAATGTTGTGCCAATCTTTCCTTTTGGTGCACTTAGCAAGCAGTCCCTGTGTGACTGCTGACCTTTAGCTGTGAGCCAGGAAATCTGTCCTTTCAGAATTGTTTCATGTTTTCAGGAAATATCAACAAGCCAAAACAAAAAACCTTGGCTTTTAGTCCACACTGCACAGTCTAAAAATGATTTGTAACTCTCATAAAATCTGTGATTTTTAAGCTATGACAATCAAATGCAGATTAAAAATTTTGTGTTTTATAACTGGCTGGTCACTGGAAAGCTGATGTCATGTAAAAGCTTTCATAATGTCTAGTCTTGGTAGCTGAAAACTGCATATGCAAAAACACAGACCATGCAGGTAATTAACATTATTTGAGAGTTAGTTTCAGACAGTTACATATTTCTTATGAAGATGAATCATTGTCTGAAATGTTACAAGGTGGGAAACGTCCTAGAAGCTGTTACACACTGATGGTTAAAATTTTACAGATTTCTAAAGGTCTCTTGTTTAAAGTTCAACCAAATGTGTCTTTGTCAGAGGAATTGAATTATATAACCCTCAGTACCTAGAGCTGCAGCCCCTAAAAGCACTGTAGGAGAGAGGCATATATAAATATTTTTATTTACATTGATATATACTGTGAGTGCTTAAGGAAGCTGATGAGAAGGTTGTGGAGTAAGCCAAGCAGGCAGAAGTCTGTTCTACCCTGATGGCTTTAAACTTGGACTACAAAATCCAGACCTGAATATGAATTTTGCTGGCATTTTCTTAGTTGAGAACATGAACCAAGCCCTTATGACCTGAAATTTTTAAGTATCTGAATTAGGTGCACTAACTAATCCCATGCACCAAAAGATGTATTCTGAGAGATGCAGGACTTCTCTGTGCAGAAGATGATTGACACAAGGCCCGAGCAAGGGTTGTCTGGGCCACAAGGGCTGCA